ATATTTAAATGTCCGGAGACGAATGGATTATAAAATGTCGGTCTGTGGGACGTCCGGAAATTGTATATTGATCATCAAGTACTATTACATGAAAACCGATCCCAGTTCTTTTCCTTCAAGTGTTTTTCTTCGCGACGTTTCCTTTATTTACTGTTACATTTCTTAATGAGTCGACCTTTCCTTACAAATCTATAGGATGATAACGACAAACACATTTTGACATCGAGTTGACATAATAAAAAAAATCGAGCACATTATATTTTTGAAAAAAGGTGGATATGAAAAAAAAAATATTGCCACTATCGTAGGTGTAACAAAATGTTTTTATTTGTTTAGAAATTGTTTGGTCGTTGTAAAGTTGGAACAGTTGTCTGATATAGTTAAAATTTGAATTATCTATTGCGCATGCGCAAAATTTTTGAGTGCCGCCATATCTTAAAATATTCATAATACAACAGTCTACATATGTTCAAAGTTTCATGCTTTTATCATCAAATGCACAATTTCTTTGCTTAGCCGCTTCACTATTCCAGGTGTAGTGTTCTCAGGCTTCTAATCAGATCTGTCACAGTCGGCTATCTGAATGCAAAACAAGCTGTTAGCAATATCTGAAAATTTAGTTCCATCAAGATTCTACCAATCGCAAAGTAGACTTGAACGCAATTAAAAAAAAGGCTGAGGAAGGACGCGCTCAGCTGATCAGATTCTTCTTATTGCAACCAATCGATACAATCGGCTTAGATGCTGCTAACGAAAGATACCAAAATAAACACAATAGCGAGCCGTTAAAAGTCGAGAGCTCGACGCATCAGCTGCATTTAATAATAATAATAATACTAATTATAATAAAATCTTTATTAGGGTGAAAATTGGGCCTGGTCTTTTTACAATTTTGCCCTTCAAAGGAGCACAACATATAATACAAAAGAAACTAAAAACAACAAAACAACAATCACAAAAGCAGTAGTACTATTAACAGTTATATACATTTATCATCCATCTGATTATGTAGTTCTATTTTTTCAAGAAAAAAAGAGTTGCCAAAACATTGATTTTCTTTAAGGATCGAGGTATAAAGTTCCATATACAAGACCCTTTATATTTCAAACTATTCTTACATATGGATTTAATAGGTTTTGGAATAAGGAATCTTCATTTTGGTTTCATAATAAAAAAATAAAAAAAAACTTAACGACCTTCGTGTCTCAAGTAAAGTAACATGACTATAAACCCTCAAACTGGGTTTTTGTCGAAACTGGGTAATTTTTTTAAAAATCAAGTTCTGCTGACATTAATGAAAAAATGAAAAAAGGGAGATAGTGCTGGTACGATATATATCGGTGAATATGACATGTCACGATACGCGTCTCGTATTGCAACGTCGTGTATCAATACTTGACGATACCTTTTATTCCATAGAAAAGTGCGGATTTTTATACGTTGGGTTATGATATAACAATTGTTTTCACTGAAATTGTTAGAAACTTACTTTTTATAAGACAGTGGATGCTAACCACTTCTATCACTGTTATAAAGTTATAAATTAATCGTGACCTTTGTTTCGCGATATGTATCGTATCGTGACCCTTGTATCGCGAAACTTATCGTATCGTGACATGAATGACGATACCCAGCACTACAGAGAGACAGGGTTTTATCACAATTCTTGTTTTCATGAAGCTAACAATGACGTTGGCGGTTTCGAAAGATTAAGTCAGTCTAGCTGTAATGACAGCTCCAATCTACTTGATTGAACAAGATGCACTAGCAGTTTCAAATCTCAAATCAAATATAGAGAAAAAAATAAAAGATTGCTTGGCATATTAATACTAATGAAGTCGGATAATATTTCTCTATCATGAGATCAAAACTCAATTAACTTAAAACAATGGCTAATATTGGAATCTGAGGTATAACGTGATACACGCTGTTTAAAAGTGAAGACAATAAGATATAGGGGATATCAGATTTTGATCCGTTGGGCAGAGGAAATTACATTAATATCAATTCGGAAGCTATTTTTTGTGGTTATGTTGATTCCGTCTGATCTTATCATTTAGATTTGGTTTTAAGGCTTGAAACTTACAGACATAAGTCAATTGACTAGAATGACCTTCTAGGAGTCTTCAGATGTTTTGGTACTAGTCTGAAAGGAATTCTGTCGTCTAAATATTCATTTTACTACAGATAGATAGCCTTGCTACCAATATCACATTTTAAAACGTGAAAATGGATAGATAACCTTGCTACCCATGCTACCGATGTCACATTTCAGAATGAAACCATACGGTGATGGTGATGGTGATGGTACAACATTCCGTTATTATGTCTAAATAGTAGTTATTTTGGATACCACGACGGCGAATCAGAGGTCGCATTTTAATTCTCAAAAAAAAGAAGATTTGATTGTTGGAATGAGCAAAATATTGCAGGATAATAATTCCTAAAATAACCTTTACGTAGAAGCCGTAGGTGGCACACATTAGTCTTAAGCTGTTATTTGTCATTCGATCATCTTCGCTTTCAGAGTCCATTTAGCTAATTGTATTTATTGAATTATAGTTTTCGCTGATGGACCTTTGGTTAACCTTGTGGACTATACTGTTCCCGGGATAGCATTTCGAAAATTAGCGTTAAAATTTCAATTTGGAATTAAATGTTTTAAATACCAGCTGAGGCCCTTTGCGGGGCAATGGTTCTTTTCATGACATCAATTGCTTGCTCATACAAATGGCGTCGGTCGGCGTGTGAAAGTCCGATTATCTTCAATAAGTCATCTTTACCAGTCAACCCAGCTGTAAATAGGTACGGGTTAGCTGGGAAACAGTTTGATCAATGGTCAGCTGGTAGAAAGGTTCGTTAATTGTGAACCTAAGTTGTTATCCTAGTAAAATATAGGCCAAGTTGTTCCTTTTTTCCTTACAGAGTGGCCGTGTCTACACGTCTTCATTAGCTGGAGCAGAAGTTGTCAAGATGCCTACCCTACCATCCGTTGCGCATGGTAGGTTGTTGCATTCATTCATTCAAATTGAAACTTTGTGAGAGTTATTGAGAAAACGAAGACGAACAATGCCACATTGTATTCACTGCGTACCTTACTGGTATCTTGCAATGTCCATCGGTACGTTTAGGACCAGACATAAAATGTCACTTTGTATGAAAGTTGCTCTGATCCATTTTTCGGTCTCTATTTTTTGAGAATTTTTCGACATGTGAGAGGCAAATTTCGCATACACTCTGGTATCCATTTAAAGCTGAACTAATAACGAGTCCATCAAGACGGATATTCTACAGTGTCCCTTTAACGAGCGGGACGAGGTAGGATTTTCCCTTCTTAGTAGAACTCCGCAAGTTAAGCCTACCCTATGTAGAACGGGTAGGACCAACGATCAACATGTCTAGAATCTGTCTTCGTGATAAACACACTACGGGGAGCTAAGCTATGTCTTCAGATTGGAGGGCTTCCGTGTTTATATATAATATAGCCTTCTAGAAGCCAATTTTCAACAGATCAGACCGTTAATTTGACACGAGTCCCTTGATAAATTCATTATCGTTCAAAGAGATCTAATAAGCGTCTCAAATATAATTAAATACTAATCAAATACTTATTAGTTGAATTTAACCATTGGACTATCTAATAATCTCAGGTTCATGCCAATCATAATTTCCCTCTAGATTTCTTTATTTTCCCACTGACCAATCGTCTAGAACCAATTATATAGCATATACCAATATTTGATATCGGCGAACTGACCACAGTACGAACGATTTAATGATCTGACGATACCAATTGTTGGGACATTTTTCGATCATATGTAACTTCTTTTGTTTTATGGCTACCTCAATTCTCCATCTCTACAATGGCAAGCTATTCGGAATTCAGTCATACCTTGACTGTAAGTCATCTTTCTTGTATCACGGAATGCCCGGTTAAGCGCAAGACACATACATGCGGGTGTGATGCCCGCGTTGCGGTAAACCGGTGCGATTATGCGGTACCGTTGTGGCAGCCCCCTATTTTCCTGCCCAGGCATTCAAAGATTTTTGGGAGTCATGGTAATCCTGATCTTGTGGGTTGTACAGATAAGGCCAGAATTTTACCAATTTACAAAGTTCCTCTACTTCTTGGGTAGTTATTGCTGCTGTACGTGACATGTTGACGGCTTCCACTCTGTACTAATGGGGTTTCTCCACAATGACGTCTTGAGACTTTTGGTCCGGTGAAACGCAGTGGGGAAATATAGCAACGCACCGCACCAGCATGTATGTGTCATGTCAAATGCATACCCTTGTTTGTTTGTTTTCGATCCGGTGAAACACTGTGGTGAAATAAACGCATCGCATCGCCGCACCGGACCACGAACCACATGTATGTGTCTTTGGCTTAACACTAATACCTATTGATTACACAATAGGTAAATTTATTGAAGAAAGATACCTCTGGTTAATTTCCCATGTCTATCACAAGACATGAATTATTATCCAGGATAACTTAAAGGCTCTAGAGTTATTCCCCGAACTAATAAAGCCACTAGAGGGGCTGTAATCAAGCTACTTCCTCTTTCTTCAAGAACTTTCAAGGTGATAAATCACAGGGATTGAGCTCTAAGCTTTCATAGTCATTTATCGAGTTGTATGCTTAAAGAATTATACTACAAGTGTCTCTTATTGAAAGGTGTGGCTTTTGTCCCCTGAAAGTTCCCTAAAAGAGCAGATAGAAAGTTTTATTTACATAGATCTAGGCCTACTAACTAACTGCACTGTCGACAGGTTCAATCTAAAAATAGAATAATATTATAATTTGATTGGTCAGAACACTAGGCTACCGCAGTAAAGGCAACTAAGATAGTTATAGCACAGACTATAGTATAGGTTGTTCTACTGCACTAATAATAGTGTAGGCTTTCTTGCTCTGAAGAAAGGAAAGACCACTCCAAGTCGCTTGTTAGGCCTTCATAACACAGTTAATTTTCTTTTCTTAAATTTCATGCACCATCATGGGAAAATCCAAGAGAAAGTCTGTGGTAATTAATAATGGGAACGATAATGGTGGTTGTGCTCCCGGTCGTTCAGATAGTAGAACCAGAAGGGTTACGAGCCTACGAACATCCACTTGGCCCTCAACAAGTCCTTATAATATCAGCTCTACCAATTCTGGTCGTAAAAAGCAGATACCAGCTGAAGATGGGAAACAAAAAGAGGCTGAAGGAGCAACCAATAAAGAAGGCTCTGGCGATGGATTGTCAGGTCACGATGACTCATTATTAGGTAATCAAATTAATATTGATCCTTGCTCGTTGCCAATGCCTATGACAACTGTGTCTAATAATTTTTGTTATGGGCAAACAGATTGTCAGCAACCTATGGTTTCAGACTTGGGCACTAGTAATCCAATCTCCCCCTATCATCATTCATCTTTGGAAAGTGTTCATTATATGATTGGTGCATATGTTCCTCAGCCAATAAAAGAGAAAATTATTCGTGGTGAATACCTTGAGCAATCCACATTATTGAAATCAAATGACTCCAATGCTAGGGTTTTTAGTATCTCTCCTGAGGGTCAACTCATTGCAAAAAAAACAAAATGTGACAAAATTAATTACAATTGAGAAGTGGACCGATGCCTTCATAATATATATGAGCATTTTCTCGTCAGTTCACCCCCAAAGGTTTCAAGAGTTCTTGAGATACATGCGGACAATTAGGTTAGGAGCTTTCAGAACTAAAGGGCTTGGTTGGAAATTGTATGACGAGAAATTTCGGATGAAAAGAGCTCGTGATCTGAGCACTTCTTGGGCTAATATAGATTATGAACTGAGGCTTTTATATATGACAAATTCTATGAGTACCGGTAGTCCTGTCATTAGTCAGCACTCATCACATACTAATCGTCCAGTTTTACATTTCGGGCGTTGTGTTGAGTACAACAATAAAGGGGCATGCTTCAAACAAAATTGTCAATATCACCATGCATGTTTGATATGCGGAGCAGAGCATGCTAAGACTGTTTGTCCCAACAAAACGGTTGGGGAAAATAATTTTCGCGCCGGAACCTCTCAAAATTAGCATTACCAAAGGCCAAATAAAACACAGAATGGGAGTTACACAAACAATATGGGCCCTAGGGGATTCACCCCTAAAAACTAAAATTCTTAAGAAATACTTAGAAAACTATCCATTAAGAATACTTCTGAATTTTTAATTGACGGTTTAGAAAATGATTTTAGGTTAAATTACACTGGTCCCAGAATGGGGGGAAATTGTAAGAATTTAAATTCTGTTAGAGAATTTCCGGAAGAAGCCATGTCAAAAATACTTAAAGAAGTACAATTAGGGCGAATTATAGGTCCATTTTTAGCCCCCCTATTTCCAATATGCATTGGTCCCCTATTGGTATAATAGCAAAGTCGGATGGGGGGTGGCGAATGATAACCCACCTATCCCACCCGCGTGATAATAGCATAAATGATTTTATCGACCCTGAGCTATGTAGAGTGAAATACACATCTTTTGATACTGTCATAGATAAAAATCATCCAAGGTGGTAAAAACTCTTTATTGGGAAATATGGACATCAAGTCTGCTTTCAGACTTTTGAGGGTTTACCCTGGTGACCTGCTTGGATTGAGAATAAATTTTATATTGATAAATGCCTTCCAATGGGCTGTAGCATATCATGCAGCATATTTGAAAAATTTGCTACCTTTCTGCACTGGGTCATTGAGAAAAAGTCAGGTCAGACATCTCTAGATCATTACTTGGATGATTTTATATTTATTGGCAAACAAAAGACATCTGACTGCTCTGATCTCATGCAATGTTTTCAGGAGACATGTCATGAATTCGGAGTGCCATTGTCGCATGACAAGACAGTGGACCCTGTCAAAGTGTTGACTTTCTTGGGTTTGGAGATCGACACAGTGTAATTTCAAATTAGAATTCCCATAGAAAAAATAATGGATTTTAATGTACAGTTAGAAGTTTTTCTTCAACGTAAAAAAGTCACCTTGCAAGAAATGCAGTCTTTTGTAGGATCTCTAAACTTTTTTTGTCTTGCCATTAGGCCAGGAAGAGCATTTAATAGACGCTTTTATGACGTTATGTCAGGAATCAAAAAGGTCCATCATTAATAACTTTGAGTAAAGGAATAAAAGATGACTTAGAAGTTTGTAAAAATTTTCTTAGCAATTTTAATGGAGTGTCATTTTTTACTTTAGAAATTTGGATTTCAAACGAAATTCTTGAATTTTTCACTGACAGTGCTGGATTACAAAATCCTGGGTGTGGGGTTTATTTTCAAAAACAATGGGTTTATTTTCAATGGCCTGCAGTTTGGGGGCGGGGGGGGGGGGGGGCATCCAATATTAAAGGACTTAACCTTTCTAGAATTAGTTCCAGTAGTGCTAGCATTGTCAATATGGGGAGATATGTTGGCAAATAAAAGAGTGCGTTTTAACATTGACAATGAAGGGCTGGTTGCAATACTGAATAAACAATCATCAAAGTCAAAAAGAGTCATGCACATTATTAGACCTTTTGTTCTCTACACTTTGCACAATAATATCATATTTAAAGCCTTTCATATAGAGGGTGTTAAAAACTCTATAGCCGATTCCATTTCACGACAGGATTGGTGCCGATTCCGGAAGGTAGCCCCACAGGCAGTCAAAGACCCTCAGAAATTCCAGACCAATTTCAGCGGGTAATTTCCAGTATTAGGTTGACAGACTGTTAGAGGCATCTCTTTCTCAAAATACATTAAATGGCTTATAAAACTGGCTTAGATGCATTCAGGCAATATTGCTAAACTTACAATATTTTGCAACCTTGGCCCCCATCACTGCAGCACATTGTTAATTTCATTGCATATTTGTCATTAAAGGGATTAGCCCCATCAACTGTAAAATCCTATATCTCCTCCATAGGGTTTTACTGTAAAATAGATAACAGATGTGACAAAACATTTCATTGTTTCTAAGCTTCTGTTGGAAATGAAAAAATCTGACCACAGAAGGGATACCGGACTTCCGATAACATTAGATCTTCTATCAAAAAAATTAACTATTTTGCCTATAATCTGTACAAACGATTACGAAGCTAAAATGTTTTGTGCTGTTTATACATTGGCCTTCTTTGGGTACTTTAGAGTAGGTGAACTGGCACTGTCCAAGGGAAACAAATCAGATGATATAATTGGCATCAGAGATATTATTATTACCACTGTCAATGGGAGTAATAAACTGATGGTAAACCTTAGGCATTCTAAAACTGATCAGTTGGGGTTAGGCACACAAATATTGCTCAGTGAAACCCATGGTAGAATTTGCCCAATTGCTACTCTAAATAGGTACTTGGAAGTTAGACCGAATTATGCAGGACCTCTGTTGTGCCACTTTCATGGTATGTGTCTAACAAGGTTTCAATTTTCTGCAATACTAACAAAGGCACTAACATATTTGAATATCGAGGCAAAGAATTACAAGTCGCATTCTTTTCGCATCGGAGCCGCTACATCAGCGGCAATGCATGGTCATTCTTCCCAAAGTATTCAGAATGCTGGTAGGTGGAAATCCAGCACATATCAAAGATACATAAGGCCTCAATAAATTGTTTTTTTTCCAATTTCAGAATATATAAGGGTCTGGTGTGTGGGTTCATCAATTATTAAATTGGGTAATGATATTTTTCTGAAAAATATTCAAGGTGGCATAGAATATATCAGCAAAGGTTATGGATGGGTATTCCCTTCAATATATTAATACTATGGGTATTGTAGAATTTGAGTGAGAGATATCGGTGCGGTTGATTCATAGGTAAGCTTCCGCTTATGGCGGTGATAAGCATTTATGATAATGGTATCATTTGGCGATAGCGCTTACCAAAACATTTTGGAAATGGCAGTTGTACTATTGTAAGTCTCAAGTTAAAGCACTTGAATCTCGGGTCTCCAGGTCAAGTGCAATAACTTAACATTGGTTTATAAATATGGATTTAACATTAAAACGTGAGCGACCATAATAACTTGTGGCGGTCGTCACATTATGGATGTGGACATAATTTGTATGGTTGTATGGACATAATTTTGTGGTAAATCATTTGTTGGAAATAACCGTGCCATATCTCGCCAAAAATTTTTTAATAAAATTTTGTTGTTTTATCTTTTCTTTAAATAAAGTCATTCACAGCCCTCGACAGAAAACGTTATAATCCAACAAAATCGTTGTATTTACAATCTTCCGTTTTACAAGTAAGGTGGCTATTGCAGTCAAGTTGTAACACAAAGTACGTAATACCTTGACATTGTCAATTCACTTGTGAATCTACTTGGTAAGGTTTCCTAAAAAAAAAATTCCTCTTTATGATCAGTTGGAACAACCCAGAGGCTGTGTCTGGCGTTAGAATACCAAAATTTAGTTTGTGAAGCATTACATCGATCGGGGTGAACATATTAAGAAATCAGCCGACAACTGGTATCTGGGTGTAAGCAGTATTCGACCACTGAAGCCGACTTTCAGATTTGCATTTGGACATATTTACAATCATAAAAGTACATAATCTGGACATGTCATAATTGTGCTCCAAACAATACAGTACAGCTGGATAGCAAATATCACATGTCCGGACATATCACTTTTGAGCACAAAGTGATCCTGTTTTGGTGGACATAGCACATATGAAAAATGTACTTTTCTACACAAACAAAGCAGGTTAAAGATATAAGAGTTGTGCCCCAAGATAGAGTGTTTAAAATGGCGCATATTGGTAGAAAAAAAACCTGAAATTTGAAATTTTGGACATATCACATTTGTGTTCTATACCCCCGATCGAGGGTTTGGAGCACAATTGTTATTTGTCCATTTTAGTATTTTTGAGAAAACGACGTTTTAAACATTGTAAATGACATATTAAATCAGGTAAACAATACAATCCAAAAATTTTGCAGTGGTATCATGCGTGGTAATTGTAGCATCCGAATCCACTATAATTCAACAATGTTGCAATATTGCATAGCAGCAAAACGTGCAATAAAAGGACATATTTCTATTGCGCTCAATGATTATTAGCACACATAATGACATAGTCGAACTATCAACTGAAATTAATATGAAGAACAACATTGGAGTTATTCAATATTTTATTTTGTTTGTTCACATGTATTATGAATCTTCTTCTTCTTCAACAACAATGCCACGTTTTGATGAAGGTAAACTTTCATAGTAGGTCCTATACTCAGGTGGGATGAATCTATTGCGCAGAAAGCTAAGGAGATCATCTTTTTTTTTCCTTAGTAATTGGAAGGCGTGTAGTATAAAGAGATGCGATAATAGGTAGACTTCAAACCTCAGCCATTTGATGTTGAGCCACCACATCACCATCGGTGTTCTTTGTTCTGTTGTTAATAATCATCCCTGTTACTTCCTTGATGTTCAGGAAATCCTTGTGATGCATGATTTTGACATTTTTTATACGGGCCAGGCCCTTTTCTCGCTCCCTTTATGAGAATTTCCTATTCGCGCGTCGTGTAAACTTTCTGGTGTTTGCGAGAACCATCAATTGTGGCATGCATGGAATCTACTTCTAAGTAACTGTGCCCAGATTCCATGTACATCAGATCTATAGTTTCCAGATTTGTCAATGATTGGAGGGCGTATAGCATAGCACCAGCCTTGAATTGATTTCTATTTTGGCCCCCACAAGTCTCTGAAAAGCTTGAAAAGTGATGGACGGAAGTTGGTAAATTTCTGAGGTAATGAAGCACATTTGTCACTATCTCGTTCGCCCCTCTACCACCCTCAGTTTCCTCCCAAAGGTAGCACTAACCATGAGCTGTAGCAGAATCATAGATTGTGAAATTGTATACCGCAAGTTTTCATTTATAATAGATTTCAAGACAGCTTCAAGATCGAATGTAACGGCATGGTATTGGTCATCGATCTTAGCTCGAGTTTTGTCTTTTGTCTTCTCGGCATCTGCTTCTGCCTCTCGTTTTTTATGCTGCTCCCGATTCTCACGAAGCATTTCCTTGTCTTCAGCTGAAGCTGATTCATAAGCATTGCATATAGTACATGGGTCTTTCTTCGGACAAAAGTTTCTCAGATTGAACTCTGTGACAAATACCTCTCTGTAGCGACTTTGTTTAACCGGGTTTTCGAAAGAGGTTTCAAGACAATGCAGTTTGTAGAGCCAGTACATTTGTTTAACATTTAATTCTGGTATTGAAGTATTGAATACTAGTATCTTTACGACAATAATGTGCTTCGATTCTAGGGAACGAGTTTATGTGGTCTCGAACATGTTTAACCTCTCTTCAGATGTTTTGTTTTGCGGAACTTTCCAATGCGTAGGTCTTTGCCAATATATGTACCAGATTCACCTTTGCCGAGTAATGCACCAGAGATAATGCTCGTACTTATGGCCAGTGCTTTACAGAAGAAATCTTTACATAAGCGCTTCTCTTTGTTAATTGCTGGGTTATAAGTATAAGATTTATCTTTGCGTTTTTTCTCGATGTTTTTGCGACTTGGATGGCGACTAACTTCTTTTTCAGTTACCATGGACACTATAAATTCCTTTTGCTGGGCGGCATTTGCAAGGAAATAATACTCACTAAAAATTGTCGTTCGCGCCTCCTCTGTAAAGTTGTGAACACACTTAAAGCGGCATCCAGTTCAAGAACACTTTGCCACTAAGGGTTTCCTTTCGGAAACTAACTTTCCTTTTCTTGTAACATACTCGGTTCCAGCACTCCTACTCTGCTTACGAATATTGCGTTTCCACAAATTAGGTTGACGTTTTTGTTTTCTTCCACGGGTTGGTTCATTATCAGCAGTATGATCAGGAACTGCTACACCATCTCTAACAGGGTCTGCAATAACATCGGTAACAGGAATAACATCAACAGGTTGACTGGAAACATCCACATCAGTAACATTAGGGACCAGAATGACATGATCTGAAACAACAGGGATGGCAACATCAGCTACGAAAGGACCAGAGATAGCATCAGGAACATCAGGACCACCAACATGTGGATCGTTTCTTGATTTGACTGAATTTCTTCACACCTCTTAAAAATAGATTGAATTGCACTGCTACCATCGTTTCCTTCGAGTTCAATATCCCATCATCATCAGGTGAATCTTCTACTAATGATTAACTTATGCAGGCTACAACTGCCTCGACATCTAATGTCCTTTTAAATCGATTAATTTCCATTATCCTCTGCAAAACGAATAGTTTTGAGTTTTTACTATAGTTTTGTGTCTTAGATTTGACAGTTTACAGGTCCAAGAAAAGGAAAAGTGTGGCTATTCCCAGTCTTAAATGAAAGCACCCAATAAATAATTTGCAGTCATTATTTAGCCTTAATAATCATTCAGAACTTTACCCCCCCCCCCCCTCCCTTTTCTTCAAATGTGTGTACATCTAGTTTGTAAAATCCAATGGTTAAAGCAGGGATGACGTGCCATAGTTGTGAATACGTAGGAATTACATTAGGCTACCTACTATGGGGAAAGGACTCGGAAATTCTTAAATTACTTTCGTGCGACAATACACAGAACTAAATAGCAAGCTCAATTTATCTCAACATTGATACACACAACTTGTATAAACAATAAAAGTAATTACCGTAAATGATTTGGTTTAACTTGGCATTTAAGTCGAAATTCAATTTTTGAAGTTTACAAACAAGCACATGGTCTGAATGTGACCTTGAACTGGTCAACAGGGTTAACAGCAATTGCAATCCATATTGACCATGTAAACAAGTGCACAAGAGACATATTTGTACAAAATATAAATTTTATCCTTTAATATTATTACGTAAAGTATAACGCATGGGTGTAAATGATGACAATTTTTTAACCATCGATACGCTCAACTAATTAGATGTACTAAGAAGTTGTTAAACATCAAGTTTCATTCGATTCTTGTTACTTATGTTAGCTCCTTGTGAAAACAGGCTTCGTATGTTCTTTATCCTGGCGATTGAATGTTCATGTTCATACCTCATGAGAACAATTTAAAGTTAAATGAGAGTGGCTCCAGTGTCTTCAATGACATTTCTAACCTTCGCATTTACTTTCGTTATAGATCAACTGCAGTTGGAATCTTTCCCCATTGCACACTGCTTGGCGTAGCAAGAAGTTCAAGAAGAATTTCTTCAGATGCAAGTGAAGTAATCTAGAGGGGAAAAATACAAAATCAAACATCTCGATCTGCATTTTAATCTGATTGCTTTCCCAGCATTATCACAATTCAAGCAAATACGATATCATTCCTGGAATCTAATTCCAGTCGAGATCACTCAAAGACACTTGTATGTTGACTGAAGGCATCAATAAAAGACAATATTGAAAGAGGCAAATTATACAATAACAGTGTTTTTTTGGATTGAACAACTAACCAGATTGGGCTTTCTATTATTCCAACAAGTCAATCTCGGTAATGTCTTGTCGTCTTTAATATTCTCAAAATATAATGCGGTAGCACGAAACGATTTGCCATGAATGCTCGTTCATTTCCGTAACAAATTGATCCGATTTAGATAAATGTAAATTTCCAATTCAGAACAATATGTTGATTAAATAGATTACGTGTTTTCGAATTTCTCAGACTTTGGAGTATTCTTAACAAAATTTGATTGAACTATACTCTATGAAGATATAAGAGATGGTCAATTACAAACGTCATAAAGTTTACTCTTCAATTTATATGAGAGTTCTTCATGTTTAAATAATCCTACGTCTTATGGAAAATATTGTGTTTAAAGTCTCTCCCATGATTTATTGAATTTAAAGAGCAACTTTCATTCGTCGGAGCCCTAAGGTGGACTAATTTGGTTTAAAAATGTTTGAAAACCATATTTTATCGGAGATGCCCCCCTTGAACCAAAACATGCGTATGTCAAAACTGTGAAAATTTACAAATTTCAACTGAACCTTGTACCTATAATTCAACTATGGTAAATTTCTAAATTATCATGAACTTATTTAACCGGAAATGATGTCAAAAGAGTTACGCCATCAAGGCTAAATAATATGAGAACCTGTACTAAGTCATGTGATCACAATATATCAATACTGCCATCTGGAAAACAAATTTTAGACAGTGATTTATAACTAAATAACCCCTCAAGGTAATGTTTGGTGTACTCGAGAAAATTTTCAGAATATATTATGAGTGGACATTATTTGATCATGATTTCTCCAAATTCTCACTTAAAGACGCGACCAAATTTCCATTGGATCTGAGAAATATCAATGGTCACCAGATGAAATTCTACTGAAAGTAGAAACTTGTGTACATAGTAGAATAGCTTAGTATGAGGGAAGGGCCTTGGAATTTGCGACAATGACGTCATACTCTGGTTAACTTAACGAAGTTCGGGAACTACAGACGCCGAAAGTGAATTCTGAATAGTGCCAATAGAAGCTCATTTGGCAACCCTCGTCAGTTTCTGTAATGGATATCTCAATTTTCCAGAGGGTCTGGCTTTATACACATACATAACTGAAAAAAACCACTCTTTCCAACCCTTTAATACAATATCCAGGATGACAAATGGTTGGCATTGTTTCATTAGTTTATATATGACCCGTCAAATCAAAGGTTGAATTTCAGACTAGAATCGTCATAATTCAAATAACTTGACACCAATCGGATCATGTAACTCTCAAATAAATTGTGGCATTTTAACACCAAGATCAGCAACCAAAATCAATCATTGGATAAATCAACTCGCGAAATAAATATTCAAATAAAAAATTCACAAGAATTCGTACAACAGGGAAATGCAATTTAAAGTAAGTTTTACTTCTTACTTTTCAGCGAAGACGCTTTGCACCAGGACAGGGGCAGCCTATTCTTCCGCGGTATCCAACTATCTTCCAGGTTGTGTTAACATACAGACATCCGAGTGTCTGCTCGGTGTAAACGAAGGAACCTTTGTTCATGCTTCTGTCCAGGACAGATTTCGCGATTGTGCGGTGTACGCTGCGAAATAGAGGTAAAATCAGTAGAAAGCAGAAAAAGCGAGCACACGGAGTAGGCCATAGGCAAATCCGCTTATATTATTTTCTATATTATTTATAACCCACACAGAACATTGTACCAGACATCGTCTATTCGCATCTTTAGTTCGATCAGCCCAAATAGTTTGATGTCCTTCATCAATAGAATAAATTCACGAATAAACGAGGAATGGTGATCCATGTGGTGTACGGTTACAGTAGAAAATAATAGAAGCGACCCATAGATCCATACCTTATGTATTCACTTCTCTACAATTTTCCACTGGATCGGTTATCCCGCACCGCACACCAGACGTCTAATCGCATCTTTAGTTCGATCAGCCCCAATAGTTTGAAATATCCTTCATCAATAGAATTACTATAATAATAGTAATACTGGTAATGTCGTGTGGAATAAAGAAAGCATCAACTAACACTCGGTAGATGATAAAAATGAGATGTTAGTGATCAAATGATGAGCCTATTTGACAAGCTACCACAATAAATGACTTCCATGTCAGAGGTCGTAATAGAAAATTCTCGTTATGTCAGTCATTCTGATCGTTTAGAGAATGGTAGTTTTATTAAATAAGCCACTGTCATATAAAGTCATGTCACTCAGTCGGTGCATTTATTTTGTTCTGCCATCGTTCAATTCATTCAGTATCGAAGACAAAGTTCTCCAACATCATATCCAGACAATTTTTTCTCGGAATAATTTACTACCTTCTTAGAAGGTTAATACACCCCGTTTTGGGATATTTTTTTTACTATGAGAGCTCGTCGTTAATCTTTTCATAATGTAAATATGGCATGGGGATCATCTGCAATTAAGTGGTCGTTTCCTTTCAGCATTTTTTGAAGCTAATAAGGTTTTTAGATGAAATTTTTTTTTCATTATGACGATCTATTTTGCACCTAATACCGGTGATAATTGAAAGTTTTCTTCAATGTAATTAAGCCTTTAGTTACAGAAAGAATGATTTATTGGTTTGGTCATAAAGAACCATATAGAAGGTTATCAAATTAATCAGAATAGCTTCACACGCCGCTGTACTACTCGAAATTACTGTTATTTTCTACATCATAAATTCCAAATTGACAAACGCGTCTGATTATTCCAGCATATTTCTTTCAATGCCTATCCAATTTAGACTTATTTATTGCTATATAGAGGGGATCTGGTAGTAACGTTCAGTTTTTGGGAATCTAGTGGTAATATTTAGTTTTTGAGGATCTAATGGTAACATTTAGTTTTTGAGAATCTAGTGGTAACATTTAGTTGTTGAGGATCTGGTGCTAACATTTAATTGTTGAAGATCTGGTGCTGACATTTAGCTGTTGAGGATCTGGTGCTAGCATTTAGTTGTTGAGGATCTAGTGGCAACATTTAGTTGTTGAGGATCTAGTGCTAACATTTAGTTGTTGAGGATCTGGTGCTAACATTTAGTTGTTGAGGATCTAGTGCTATCATTTAGTTGTTGAGGATCTAGTGCTATCATTTAGTTGTTGAGGATCTGGTGGTAACATTTAGTTGTTGAAGATCTAGTGCTAACATTTAGTTGTTGAAGATCTAGTGCTAACATTTAGTTCTTGAGGATCTAGTGCTATCATTTAGTTGATGAGGATCTGGTGGTAACATTTAGTTCTTGAGGATCTAGTGCTAACATTTATTTGTTACAAATTCCAATACTGACTTATTCGTCTGATTATTCCAATTTATATATTCCTATATATACTATGGATTTCCGACCGGAGGGTAGTAATCCCCAATGGGGTTATTTTGGGGGATGATAACGGGCTTTGTAAATTATACTTTCAATCATTATATTCGCAAAATAAACAAATTCAAAAAAGACACAATCAAAAAACTTAACCAGAATCCTATATAATCCCTTCTTCACTTTAGATTAGAATATTTAACGAAAAAAGCATATCAAAAATACCATTATACAAAATAACTTCCTTGATTCGCTTAACATCCGGTTTTTTTAATAGCCTCTTTTTATAGCCTCGTTTTTTAATAATGTTTTTTTAGTTTTAATCTAGAAACTTCTGTAAGAAAGATAACTCTTGTTTGGAAAAACAGACCACAATTTCTTCGTTAAATTAACTCATTTAAAAATAGGATGAGTTTAATTCTAAAACACGAACGACACACATTCGAAGATTATTCGGGCGACGGTATCCTTTCATCAATTTTTACTCTAGGTTCAAAAATAATTCCAAAAGTAGCTAGGTTTGTTTCAAACAACAAATCCCTCATTTCCTCAGAGGCTAAAGCTATAGGATCTGTCGCGCAAGCGGGAAAGAGTATAAGCGACGCAGTAAAAAAGTCTGACGAGTTCAAAAAATTACAACTAATAAGAGAACTGCGAAAGGTTTTAAAGTTATAGGATAAAAATTATAGTCCCTCACGCTTCAAAAACGTATTTTGGTTCAGATATACAAAAGTCATTGGGCTCTCTTCCTGGGCAAAGTATCTCGGAGAAAAAAAAATCCCCCGGGTCATAATTACACTGGTCCAGGTAGTAGGTTAGATCTGCAATTACACGAAAACGATAAACCCAAAACGGGTGAAGAACCAGTCAATATAGTTAAGGCCACTGCGCTTAAACACGACATACTATACAGAAACAAAGACATAAACTTCAGACACGAAGCAGACAGACAAATGATAATCGAACCTGAAAATATTCCAAATCCAACTTTCAAAGAGAGAATGCAAAGGGCTCTGATCATAAAACTGTTAAAAGCACAGATGAAATTGAGTATGGGATTAGCAGATGAAATTCATATAGGATTTAGAAAAACTAAAAACTTTTTAAAAGTTAAAGTATTTGAAAAAGATGAAATATGGTCAGCCGATTTAATTAATATGCCAGTCGAAAGAGGATATAAATATTGCTTAACAGTTATAGATTTGTATACAAGATATGCTTTGGTTATTCCTTTGGAAAACAAAATAGGATTATCAGTCAAACATGCTTTTGAAAAGATCATGAAACGTAGAAAACCAAAAAAACTGTGGGTAAATAAAGGAAGCGAATTTTATAATAAAAATATGAAATCACATGGGTTTGAAATTTACAGTATTCATAACGAGGGAAAAGCCGTTGTAGTAGAAAGATTAAACAGGACTCTTAAGTCAAAACTGTTTAAAAAATTCACAGAACTAAAGTCTCAAAAATGGTTTGAGATTTAACCCACTG